TACATCACTTGTCCCCCAAATCCTCGCCTCAGGCTCTGCTTCTAGGGAACCTACCCTTAAGACAAGTCTCCATTCATCTTTATCTGTTCGTTGATAAAGTTCACTTTCCTACCATAGATGAACCCCAATTGTGAGTCCTCTAATTAATCTCTAAATTTAGTAACAGCCAACCACTGGCTTAGGACCAAGGTAAAGAGGAATGTGAATCTGGGGCATTGACCGCTACCTTTCATTAGTGAAAAGGACTGCATTTGCGTTTTCTGAAATGGGCCCATCCTAATGCCAGAATCGACCCTATGGTCGGACAATATCAAACTGCTGTACCATGGCACCATATCTAGGCTTTAAATTTTAGGTTCTGTCCTAACTCTGTAAATAAACTGTTTCCTGGTATTATGTGAATCCACTCAATCTATCAAATTCAGGGCCTGGTTCTTCAGGTGGGGCCTGGGCTAGGGCTGTGCATTTGAGGTTCTTTATCTGCTGGCTTCTCCTGTCTCACTGTTGCGTGCACTGTGTTAGTTGAAAAGGGACAGTGATGTGAAGCGGAGGCACAGAGTCTCCTGCACTGCACTGATGGTGCAGGAGGAGCAGGTGATGGTCTGGGAACACATACTGATCATCATTGCTTGGGGCCCTGGCAACTCACTCTCCACACAGTGCATTTTGCTTCTCTTTGTAGGCAATGATCACAAGTAAGACTCTCCGCCTCTGTGTTCACTCTAGACTGGGACCTCCTTGAAGACAGGAACTGTACCTACTGGGTTCATTGTGAAATCCCCAGCTCCTGGCAAGGGGTCCTGCCCATAGATAGATGCTCAATAAACGTGTTGATTTCATGAAATAAACAATAGTCATAGACAGTAACCATTCTCCCCCAAATACTTTGCTGTTAACAAAACACTCTAACTTATGTCATTTGATTCCCACATCAAACAAAGCAGTAGAGGCCTTAGAATACTGAGAGGGGCTCGTATCAACTGAGTTCACTAGATCCAACTGTGAATAATGCAGTTTTGGGGGAGCTAGTTGTTACATTATTATAACTTGAAATTAGACATGGTTTGGGTCTTTACAACCCCGAGCTGAACAAATCAGAGTTCTTGTTCAACAGAGAGCAGACGTATCAACAGATCTATAGCAGAAGTTGTGTTCAAAGATATTTTGTGCATAGGTAGATAAAGAGGATTGTAAATTTGGTATGAGTTAGTTTCAGGAAGATGGAGAGAGGCTTTTCTGGTCTCTGAGCCTCATTGCTCAGTGAGATATTGACTCCATATGCACTTTCTTATTACAGAAAGTATTTTTTTTTTCAGGGCCAGCTCTGTGCCAGAGATGTCCTGCCAGCGGATATGTGGCTGAGCAATTAGTGGTAGGTTGAGATGAAGCATCTCTTCCTGGGAGCTCTTCTCAGCGGCTGCTTCAGGAGGCTTCATCCTTTGCTGTCCAGAACTGACTAGGTGAGGACCTCGCACCTCAACACTGTGTGAGGGCTAAGGCTAGTCCCCCTGACACACATCAAGCATCTGCTGTGTGATGACAGCTCCTGGTTTTTACCTACTGCCCATGGACCCTTCCATGGGTCTTGTAGCTCCCTACCTAAGACAGCTTCACAGAGATCCCCTCAGGAACAGTGTCAAATCTCAACCCCAACCTACTCTAGGGTCCTCCTGGGCAAGCCTAGTTTTTAGACACCCTTAACATCTGCCAAGATCATGGTGTGACAAGGGAATAATCGGGCTACACTGAAAAACACATGGACATTGCCTATATCTACACAGGTCCAGCTATGTGCTGAATTTTGTTTAACATCCACTGCCAAAATTATTATATTGAAGTCCTAACTCAGTACCTTAGAATATCGCTAATTTAGTAATAGGTCTTTACAGATGTCATTAGTAAGGGTAAAGTTACACTGGAGTAGTGTGGACATCTATTCCAAGATGGTCAGCACCCTTATAAAAACATTTGGACATGGATACACAAGGATAATACCATGTGAAGATAATGAAGAGAACTGGGTGGTAATTATACAAACCAAGGAACAACAAAGATAACCAGCAAACCACTAGCAACTAAGACAAATGCATGGAACAGAGCCTTCCCTGCAGTCCTCAGAAGGAACCAAACTGCAAACACCTTGATTTCAGACTCTTAACCTTCACAACAGTGAAACAATATATTTTTGTTAAATCTCACAGTTTGTAGGACTTTGCTGGAGCATCCACAGAAAGGTAATACTGGGCAGCACTGATTGGGGTCTGGGTGACATTACAAAACAGTAAGGGTAGAATCACACACCAGAGCCCCAGGTGTGCATATCAGATAGGCACTGGGTATGGGGTCAAACAGAATGACCCTGAATGAGTACATGGGGATGTTCCATGTGGCAACTCTAGTTTTATGGGACCAACGCAGTGACCACAGATGCTGGCAATACTTGGCAGCAGCAAGTTGCATCGTCACCAGAAAACTGGTCTTGAGTCTGACATATGCTCATTCTCAGGGGCTGGATGACAAGGAAGGTGCCACCATGATAGAGAAGTGAAAGAGCACGCAGAGGTACTGATGACCTACTCTGGGACCTTATATGACCTCTCAGCCTGTGAGATTCCCGCTATCAGATTTTCCTCTATTAAGAGAAATGCTATTTTCAGCGAGTCGACCATGAAGAGATTTGACTGAGGCTCTCAGAAAAGGATGAGAGGGATCAAATATTGATCTTTGGCCTCATATCCTTCATTCAAACTCCTTGTGGGCAACACATGGCTCTAGATAGCAATTGTCTTGAATTCACCCTGGATGTTGTAAGCATAAGGACTGGCACAGAATAGATACTGATCAAACACCCTTTGTCCTATTTTTGTACACCTCGGGCATGATTATCTAATATGATGTTGATGGGGGATGACCCCCTAAGGGACAGTAGAGTGGAATTCTGCATTTTCTAGCTCTCTGCCCTGAACTGGATAACCAGGATGTGAACTCTTGGAGTTCCCACTGCTATATGCCAGAGATAACTTCACAGAACTCTGCCTGGATTTGACCAGCTGGACATTCATTATTCATTTTTTCCATCTCTCTCTCTCTCTCTCTCTCTCTCTTTCTTTTCCTTTCACACATCCATACTTCACCTGTATACACACTTATTTAAAGGAAGACTGGAACCTAATGATCCATCTAGAGGAGAAACTCTTATGCTAAGAAGACGCAGGGAGCTTTTCTGCTATAATTCTCAACATGACACTGCCTTTCTCCAGCAGATCAGCAATGCAACTCTGGAGAAGCCACGTGATGAGCCTATATGCCTCTAAGGACTGTGGACCTGAAATTGGCAGGAAAATATAATTTCAGATGTTCTCCCTTGGTTCTCACATGTACCTATTGTATATCATGTCACCTGTTGCAGTCCTCAGGTCAGAAAATAGGGCCCAGAAAATTACCCGTTAGGAGAGTCAAAGTCCTAGAGGGTGATTTCAGAACACGTGTCTGGTGGAAAGCAGAGCAATTGTATGGATCACTTCCTTTCCTAGAGGCCAGAAACTGTGGGGGAGCTGTGCAGTAGCATCTTGGGGGAGTTTTCATGTGTTTACTTCCCTCTCCAGCTGTCTGCTGAAATGGGACACTGCAGAAACCAGCGATCCTGACTGCTGTCTAGTGCCCCAGCGCTACCCAGTTGATGGGGTTCTTCCTTCTACATTATCTGTTTTCCTCTGTGGAAAAGTCTGCCACGGCCTGTGATTTGTGTCACTTTTGCCTGTGGGCCATCAATTCTCTTTGTCTCAATGAAGAGCATTTTATCTCTTTCCATCCACTAGCCAGAGTTCTGGACCGGAAACGAGTTAGGGACATGCCAACCTCTATGACACATGGGAATCCAGAGTGACTTCTTATGACATTGAGCCCCAGTGTTTCTGTCTTCTCCTTCCTCCTGTGTCTTCTCTTTGGTTTCTACATATGATGCTGATTTCCTTTAAAGTCATGTGTTAGATGTCTCGGTGCATGTTTTTTCAAATAGCTATAGATGATTCTCTTTGTCTCTGTTTGTCTCTGTCTCTCCTTCTCTGTATTTCCCCACCCACCTGTGTATGAGTGTGCCTGTGTATATACACTCACACACATACGCATACCTACTTCAATCATTGCTGTGCTACATTTTATTTATGATTATATGTCCATCTGTATTCATAATTTCTATATGTTTGTAATGATGAAACCATATATGTTGTGAATAAATATAGGGAAGATGACTTGATTTGGGTACATGTATATAGGGGGCAGTTGCTATTAAAAATATCAATTCTGTAACAAAAAGACAAACCTGATTTCTAACCAGTCAACCTTGTGATAGGTTAAATGATAACAAACCATTCATTGATTTTGTTTTTTAAGAAGAGTAATAAACAGAAACATGTACCAACTGGAAAAAGTCAGGCAATTCAATTATAATTAGGAGAACAAAAGCGATGAGCCTGAACAATGCTGCATTCATTTTTTTGGAGGGGGATAAGTGTTGAAAATGCCAGCTGCATAACAAGGCAGTGTTTGTTCTCTCATTATTAAAGGCACCAACACTAATCACTTCATATTTGAAAGCTATGTACCAATTGACGAAAGCATAAAACCCAAATGATGGGCCTAATAGACATACTTAAAGAAAAATACCCACATGAACATAGATCTAAATGCAATGAAAATATACTCCACTATAATATTTGAGTGGAATTATATTCGCCACTACATTCTCTATGCGCCTATCCATCCATGCGTCCATCTGTCTATCCATGTATCCAATAAATATGTTTTGCACTTTTACACCTTAGGTATGGTGATAATATCATATACCTAGGGTGTATGGTCTGGATACAACTGACTCAATGAAAATAATTCTTTATTCTTGTTTTCAGACACTGTTGCCTAAACTTTCACTGTGTGGCCAGAAGAAGAGCTATTTACGCTGCTGAAGAACAAGTGAAGACAGACAGGTCTTGCCAACTTACCTTTTGTAGCCAGACGAACACAGTTGATTTTGGTCTCCTGTGAACAACAAAAGGGAGACACCAGTCAATTAGTTGTTAGTTATATGAGATCATTCTATAAAACATGCATATATTTGTATATATTCATTATGTGTACATAGGCAGTTTTATTATAATTTACATTTTGTTCTTTTAATTTTTCCCCACTGGGATTACCTTTCAATTTCATCTCTTTCTTTGTCAGGCTTGAAACAAATGTCATTCTGTTCACATACTGTTCACTGCCACCTACGACCTCATAAACATCTTTTGCAGACAGAACTACTTTATAAACTTATCAGACACTTCCAAGTGCCCAAAATGTTTACCAGTAACAATTAGTGGGTGTGTTGTAGTATGCAATGTGAATTGTTCAGGTGTATGAGTCAGCAGACAGAACAAGGGCCTCCTTTGGGAACTGTTAGGTGGGACAAGGCATCTCAATGCACAGAAGGGACATTTGGCAAGAGCCACCCCATCTAGATAAAACATGTAAGAATCAATGTGTAAAGTTTATGTTGAAAAAGTCACTTTGGCCCTGACATCTCTAGTGGGCCTCACAGTCTTCATAACGAGTGTGTGTGTGTGTGTGTGTGTGTGTGTGTGCGTGATTATTGAATCTTTGCTGGATAAGCTGCCTAGTTATTGTTGGTTGCCATCCAAGTGAACAGAAGCCATAAATTTGTGCTGTTAACGGGCATGCAGTAGAGTTACAGAAACGTGTGCCTAGGAAGAGAATTATCTTAGCCTACTTCACTGGGATTCATTTCCCAGGGGCCATGGACAAATTGAAAATTCCTATTGACTAAATTATACCCCCAATAATAGTTTGAATGCAATGGAGCAATAAAAGTAAGAGCAAAGAGTGCAATGGTGGGAAGCACTAAACTAAAACTCTCTCAGGAACCCAGTGCTTGACATATCGCTGGTCACTCACAAGGAACCATCCTGAAGGCATTTGATTTAATCAGGATATAAAAGGTTGTGCCACAGTAACAAAACCCAAGAACTTCAGGGGATAAAAACAACAAAAGTTTATTTTCTATTTTCTAGTCAAATTACACATCCACAGGTTGGGTCTAAGCACTGGGGACAGAGTTAGGAGGATTCACTTATCAATGTAATCACTCAGAAACCAAAGCTGGTATTACCATGTTAACCAAGGGGAAAGAAAGTAGAAGAGTTAAGCTCTGACAACCAAATTCTTTGATTCAAAAGGAATACTTAACACGTTCACTTCTGTTCAAGTTTCATTGGCTAGAACAAGTCACATGATCATAGTGAATTTCACTGAGTTGGGGAGATGGAACCTTGTATGCACTCAGAAGTGGAGAAGAAACAGTAGTGTTCACATTGGAGTTTACTTCATCTCTGCACACCTACGAATGCTAGAAATCATCACTTGTTGTAAACCCAAAATGACCTTCCATAATTATCTCCAATGGTCTTGATTCCAGTTCCTCAAAGTATATAGAAGGTCTGCCCTTGCTTGTGCAAGAAGATGTCTGGATATTGATAAATGGTTCTTCATTTCACTAATGTTCTACTTTAGCAAGTTCTCATAAGATTAAAAGTTTAAGTCTTTTGAGCTATCCTATCTACTCATCCTGAGACACCCTCCACTTTATCCCTCTCAGTGCTCAGTGGCCAGAATAGGAAGAACAACCTGTGTGTGATCTTGTCTATAGTGAATGCCTAGATTCTCATTATTTTCTATACTTATACTGGGATTCTAGGAACATAGCCAACATCCTAGTCCAAGTGCAGACTCACATTTGATCTTATTCCAAGAGGCTATCATCATATTCTCCACTAGATGCAACTTTTGGCAATATTTTTTTTCATATAATTTCATCAATATAAGTAGAAACCTGGAAAATGCCAATAGCCAGGCACTACTGTGTAGAGTAGATGCCTTCATCCAGATTCTCATTTATCTGAACATTAGAATGTCTGAACTAACTACTCATCCACTTTTATCATTGCTTTGGTCTTCAGATCTCAATTGCTCAGTTGCTTACGCCTTGTATTTTTCCATAATAATAGCTTGACAACAGGGTCAAATTCATTTCAGATTCTGATCTTCTGTCTACTGCATTTCTCTAATCTCAGCCTAAGAACTCTTAAAGAAAGAAGGTTGGGTTGGCATGACTTGTTCTTTGGAACAAGTGTTTTCTTTTTTATAACGAAAATGTCCCCTTTAAAACAAATAATTGTTTCATTTTACAAAATAGAAAATTCAGAAATGTTAAAAAAAAGTATGCCAGGTAATGGTGCAAGGGTACAAAGTACTCACATGAAATTTGAACTATGCAATTTGTTAATAAAATATTTTTATAAAACAACATATAAAGAACAAAAAATGACAGAATATGAATATAAAAATAAAACAGAACTTCTTAAATATGATATCTAAAAAGCTTGAGTTAGAAATAAGTTAAAATTGCCAATAATAATACGAGTGAGCAAATTTGTTTGTTTTTGTTTTTCATGTTTGTAGAGTGCAAGTCTTTCAATTCTTATTGACTTTCATTTCTGTGCCTTGGTTGAAAGAGCCTGACATGGGTAAAGAAACTGCGAACTCTGAAGAACTGAAAAAAGCCCGGGAATAGTGGTGCAGCATCTCAGCGATGACCGTCTCTGAGAAACTGTGTAGAATGGTAAAGGTGATGAGAGACCAGATACAGTCTAGAGGTCCTACAACTTCATATTATTGCAATAAAATAAGGTTTTGCAAATGATATATTAGGAAACTTGCCAGTTTTGTGCATGATTGCTGAATGTAGTGATGGGCACAGGTCTCATGTGGCCAAGACTGCTGGGAGTAATTTGTAAATATAATGAATCCTGGGTATCCAAGGGGGAGCCCCAGGACTCCATGAATAATCAAACTTTGGGATGCTCCAGTCCCTTAAGTCAGCCTTCCGTATCCACAGAATCTGTAGCTGCCAATGCCAAAGGTTTACTGCACCTAACTTAAGCTTAAAGAGATTCAATTGAATCTTTCTATAAGTAAGAATCTGTTCTCGGAGAATAATCTTAAATGTACAAAAAGGCATTTTATTTAAAAATCTTGGTTCCAATGTTCTTTGTGACCAATTCCATACAAAGTACGTAAACGTTATGTATTGGAAATATGTATCAAAAAAAGGGAAGGGGGTCAAGGGATGGGAGAAAAGGGAAAGGGAATGGAAAAAGGAATTAGGATCTGTTATGTACACAGACCAACTTCCCACAGGGAATGTAAACATTATGTACTACACACAGGTACTAATAAACTGAAATAATAAAAAAATCCAAAGCATTATGTTTGTCTGATCATATAGGCATTGTAAAAACAAAGTTGTGCAACCTTGTCTAAAAAAAAAAATAAAAATAAAAAACCCAAAGTTGTGGTTTATCTAAACAGTGGAATATTTTAAAGCAAAATATGATTGTGATGGCTGTGTAATAACATAAAATGGTACACACAAGAATTATTAAATGAACAAAGCAAATTACTGTTTTATTACAACTAATGTGTAAATCTAATTGTTTAAAGAATAAGTCCTGAAGAAAATATACTGAATCTCATTAACTATTTTACCTGTTAAAGTATAACATAAATACATATAAGTACGCTAATCTTCAGTTTAGCAATTTTTCACCAGGTAAACATAACCTTTGTCCAGCACCCAGGTTAAAACATCAGCATCTTTCCTTCATGGTCCTTCTGGTTACATTCTCCTGACAAAGGTAACCACTAACCTGCTTTCTTTGGAAGTATTATCTTTAAAATGCAGTTACATTGAAGGGAACCCTGGGTAGCTGCAGTGGTTTATTATACAGTCCTCTCTTGCCACTGTATCATGTGTAAGAACTTTCTAGCTCTCCTTAGAATCATCATCTCTGCTTCAGAGACAGGTACAAAAATACGCCAAGCCCTGACACCACCCCTTCCACTCTACACTTTAAAAAATTGGTTCTCTATATAAATCTAGAGGGCATGTCTGATTATGATGAAGTCTTCTTGATTCTCACAAACATGATACTGACGTGTTTGCTCTCTCCCAAGTTACTGACAGCTTCAATTCCATAATTAATTGTCTTTGTTGGTTAGAATTAAGCACAAAATAACAAAGCCCCAAGTCACTTTCTTGGTCTTCTGGTTGATAAAACTGTCAGCAAGCAAATCAGAGAGAGGATGGACGTTCATAATTCTATCAGGTGGAGTCTGGTCAGTGTATTCACATTCAGTATTCCAAGTCAGATCAATAAGCATGAAGTCAGTACTGGTGCTTAGATTGTATAAGGCTTCAGAGAAGGAAAAATGGTGTATTTTCCTTTCTATCTGCAGTATGCCCTATTATCAGGTCTACACTATATCTTAGAATAGTACATACAATTTCATTTCCTCAGCACTTTAACCTTGCTCATGTTATATTCCCCACTCCAGACTTAAAACTCTGCTCACAAATATGTCACCTCAGGGTAAAACTAGATAACTTTACTTCTGTGTTTCTGTTGAAACTTGCTTCTTCTTGAGGAGGTTCTGTTTGTGCATGCAATACTGAGCAAGTCACTGTTCCTTTCTTTTTGCACCCATTTTCCCATCAATTAAATGCCAGAAAAGGGGGTAGAGAATGCCATTTTGGTGGAGAAGCCAAGTCATTCTCTCCAATGATAAATTTTACCTCAGTTACTGGCAATATATCTGCTTTTTCAGTATTCTGTCTTCTCAAGTCTTAATACCATTCCATACTACTTCACTCTATGCAAACAGATTTTTTTAAAGCCTTGCTCAGCTTATTTCCAAGGATATCTCATACTTGGACCTACTTATAACTATTTTGGAGTAGGCCAAATCTGACTTATCCAATGTTCTATCCCTCAAACCTTTAATTATTTACTGAAATTGTAGAATGCCTTTTCACTTGAAGAGCTTACTGTATAAGTGTCTGAGGTATCAAGTTTCTGTAGCTGCTGTTTACTATCTAGAAGGAGTAGGTCAAGTTGTACCAAAACTTTATCAAGAGGCCA